AAATGTTTGCTTTGTTTGCCAAACCCATTTCTGTAACCCATTTATCACATCAACTCTTGCGTAAAAACCAGGGTTAATAGTGAAAAGATGTTTAAAACTGGATTCACGAAGGGAAAAGTGGACCTTTCTCAGACCAACTTTTTCATATTCTTGTGAATACTCCCAGGCAAGATGATTTAGGATTATTTTATGATTATTAACTCACTGGACAGAAATGTCCTTCCTTGTGTTCTGTGGTTCAAAAAGGATTTTGTGTAGTCTTTGTCAAAGACATTGCAATATCGCACGAAAGACACAATATTACTGATTTCTTCCATAACAGGGGCACGAGGTCTGAGCCTTAAAATGTTTTCATTTGTATGTCTGGAAGTCAAACACTGGGCATGAAAATGTGTGTGGGTGGAAAACAGAAGAGCAAAGAACATCAATATTATTCCACAGCTGCAGAGTGCACAGTACCTTTGAAAGGAAAAAAATCTATCTCAGGAGTCTGTCATCCCACAGAGATGTTTGTGTCATGCCAGCAAGAACACAGTGGATCCAGACTTTAATGCAGGTTCATGACACATACTGTAGTTTGTGTTCTTCAGGCTGTGGAGACTCAGTCCCCATACCATACAAACATCATTGTTATTTCACAAACAATATGTTATGTGTTGTTCTTTAAGTATAACAGTGATATTTCTGGATCATTAGTAGTTGCCATTGGTGTTGCTGTTTCTAACTAAAGACAACAGCTCAAACTCGTGTTTTTCAGGGCACACCAAAGCCTGAGGCACTAGAACAGCTGCAAAAGCATCTCTGTTATCCCAAAGAAAAATCTAGTCTAACCTTACGAGAAACACAACATTCCTAGAGACAGTTTTTCTGCCAAACTAAAGTGCACTTAGTGTTTGCCTGAGATAAAGGAGCAAAATAATAAGCTCAGTCTCGTTGGGGTTCATGCTTTGAAAGTGCAGTGTAAAAGTCCCAGTTAGTGTAAACACGGCGGGACTTCAGGGGCTCTTATGCAAGCTTGCTCTCACCCGTGGTTATACATGACATGCTGGGAAATATCAAATTAAATGAGCTTGTCTAAAAAAAATGTTAGATAAATAAGGAGCTCTATTATTATACTGGGCTGTTGTGGCTGATAGCAGCCAACCCCCCTTGAAAAAAATACACAGGATAGAGAACATGATGTTCCTCATTCCACAGTGACTGAGGGTTTTTATAGTGAGGCCTCCCAGAGTGCCACTGAGACACTGTTTAACACCTCAAAATCCTTTTCTTGTTTGTTACACATTTATTCTTCTAATGGGCAGAATTACAGTGGTGGACAGTAACTACATTTGTATATCAATTACTCACATTATCCTCCTGAGACCCGAACTTTTGTTTGGTAGCCTATGCTTTTTAAATTTCTCCGAGCTATGTGGGATGAGTAGGACCTGATAGGTATAAAAAACGTAACATTGTCAATGATAATAAAGTCCCGATGTCCTCGAACGAGACGATGATAAAGTCTTACAGTCTTCAAATGAGTACTTCCTCATTAACAGTGCCATAGCTTGATACTGTTGCTAAAATTGGTAAAACTGTGTTGCCATATCAAACTACAAACATTATTAATCAGAAACAAACAAGTTCCAACCCTAAAATCTGATCAGGATTTAGACCTTGCCCACTTTTGTGGCGGGGTCGGCTGCAGACTGACTTAGCTGAGATGGCTGCCATCTTGTTTTCACATTGATTAATGCATTGTGGTCCTACTACCACTAGATGGCACAAAAAGTGTCCATGAAGGAGGACAACAGGTCTAAGTTAAGTAGAAGGTTAAGTAAACCTAAAATGTGATGTCCTCATATGAGGAAGAATCCAAAAAATGGAGAAAATTTGTGATGAATTTAATCCATCGGGATCTGAGTCTAACAACAGCAAAATTATAGGCCTGTCAAACATCAGTTTACAAACTTTAACAGAGTTTGTGCACTATAAGTCTCATTTATAAATTTGTATGCTCAATACTTCTCAAACACATGCATTTTCATGTAAAACTCAGTATTCAAAACTGAACTGAAAGTGAAATTGATCTATGCTCTCTCCAAAGCAATACTCAATTGACAAAAGCAGCAATTTTACCTTGCTGAACAGGGAGCTGCTGGTCCACTGATGCCTTGATCATTATTTGTGTTTTGTCAATCTGAACGAACACTTTAGGACACCAAAGTCACACAATAACACAAAATATTGATGGAGACAGCGGTAGACCAGCAACTTCCATGTTCCACAAGGTCAGATTTCAGTTTTTGTCAATGGAGTCAGAGTTTGAAGAGTGCAAAGACTATGTTTCACTTTCAATTCAGTTTAGAGTACTAAAGTTTTAGTGAAAATGCATGTGTTTGGGAAGAACTGAGTGTACGACTTGTGAGACGAGAGTTTGTTAATGGATGTTTAATATAGTTTTGCTGTTGTTAAACGTGGACCCTCTTCATTCCAACTCATCAGGAATTTTCTATGTTTTTGGATTCTTCGTTTACCAGAAGCAAACAAAAAAAGTTTTCTTTATGAGTTTAACATAACATAGGGTGAGTAATTGGATCAGTTTAAGTATTCCTTCAAGTACAATGTTGAGATATGCCAGCTACAGTAGTTCTCCTACATACTTAGCACATGGTAAAAGCCAGTAAATTCTACACACTAGTCCTCTGAATACATTTTGATGTCAATATTTTTGTACTTTTACCTCAGTAAAATTTTTAATGCATGGCTTTAGTACTTGCCACTTATAGTTTATGTACAAGACCCGACTATTTCTTCCACCACTACTGAATTATGATAATGTAATATTGTGCAAAGATGAATGTTTCCTGCTGCTTCTGACAGGACTGAGAAAGTCAAACAAACACTTTCAAAAATGGGTGGAGACACAAGTGGATACTTCTGTTTGGACTGATTATAACATAATTGCCTGTAGACGGCTAGACTGAGAGAACCTGGTCGATTACAGGATGATATGTGGCATGTTAAAGAAAAGCCCCACTATGCACAAAATACATTACTATACATCTACTTACAAGTTCCCTTAGAGGTAATTTCCTTAAAGTTTGCCAAATAAATGGGCAGGATCCTATGTCAGGTGCAAAGTTCAGCAGCGGAGCAGGTAATCGAGATAAATTCATCTGTCATAGACAACTGTTGGCGCTTTTATCATAACTTCTTACAGTTTTTCCCAAATGTTTAGCACGTTTTCTCAAACTATAGATCAGTTTCTCACAACTCTGAGCACAAAAGTGAAACCATTTTGTTAATTAAAATTTCTTGCAAAATGAAACACAGTGTGATGAATTTAAAACACTACAATCAAAATACCATTAGTATGTGTTCTGGCTCTTTGTCTTTGTCTTCTTTTTACAGTAAAGTTGAGCGTTTTTCATCCAAAAATAGGCTGCATTTTTGTACAAACAGAATAAAGACTGTTACCATACTGTTATACAATATTGTATATATATCATATAAATACTGCATTGATAAAATCTTTGTATCAGCATAGGATAAAGTGCACATCTGTCTATCCATTGGCTCCAGTTGGGCTAAACTCACATCCCAGCTTCCCATAGACACACTGTAAAAGTTGATACTGCCACATAGGTAGAGTTTTGAGAATACACAAATGTTTCCTATTATGGCAAAGCTCACAGTAATTGAACTGATACTGTAAGTAATATGAGAACACGACAATAAGACAATGATAAGACTGTCTTTCTGGGGATGTAATGAGGAAATCAGCGCACAAATACAAAAAAGTAATAGATCAAATGTTTACGTGTTACTGTAGGCTAGAGGAAAATGTTCAGCTGACTGAACTGACTGTTTTCATCGGCCTTCCTCTCTGTTCTCCATGCTACTCCATTTTACCCAACGCAGTGGAGGTTACCTGGGGCCTCTTTATGCCCTGGACTGCTTTGCCAATTGAGTTTGAACAGCTCAGATGTGAGTCACACCAACTAGTAATGAGGTTGTGTCATTTTAATGGCCAGTGTTTTCCGGCTGAACAAGCTGAACAAAGTGTGCTGAATGATGCAGTTTGTGCTGAGAGTTCTACAAAAATGTGGTTTAAATTTCTATTTAAGTGAAAACAGTGGAATTATGCTTAAAGTTCAACAGTCTGGAGTCTTGTTCATGCATGAGCTTCAAGTTTTCAGAATTGTGTGCATAGTTTCATTTTGTGTACATAAGAAAGAAACACTGCAACATTCAGGGGGTAAACAGAACAATCATTTGTTCTTGTTGACTGCTGTAACTGCTCAGCCTGTTCAATAGCACCACCAAGAGGAGTGATGGTACATTGAAACCTCAGTATCATTAACACCTACAGTATTTTGTTGGATTTAAGAACATTTACTCAAGTACTTTCCATCAAGGACCACTTTGGAAATTAATGTTTTTAGGGATGTCTTTATGTGTTATCCTCTCGGGCTTTTGTGTTTTGTGCTTTTAAACTCCTAATAAAAATTAAAGCAAGTGGAAATACTTGTAAGTCCTGCTTTACTGAATTTAAGAGGGTCATATTGTACTTTTTACTCCACTACATTTAGTTAACATCTGAAGTCCCTAGTTATTTTACAGATTGAGATTTTATATACAGTAAGATCAGTTCAGAATCATTTCAGTCCTTATTTTCTTGAGATCTGCCAGTGCTGTGAGGACGTTCCAACCATTTTTAAAATGCAAATTGACTCGTTTCCAGTATTACATAAAATCAGATTGAAATTTTTATAATTCTTAAATTGCAATCTGCTTTTTTCTTGTTTCACATATTTTTTTTAAAAAACCTTTGTTTAAATAAGTGATTTTAATGTTTTTACTGCATATATGTCATAATGTTGTAATAAAAGTATAATAAGTAGTCACTTTAGTGGCATCTAGTGGTGAGGTTGTGGAACTGAAACTTCTGCCATGTGCCAAGTATGTGACAGAACAACTTAAGTACATAAGAAAAAAACAACTCAAACCACAACTTAATCCAGCTCTTTTTACTTTATTGACAGAGATGCACAATGATGGGGGTGGGAAATGATTTCTGAGGAATGACTTCTCTCTCAATCTTACTGCCTTCTAAACGTGACAGTGACATTTTAAACTTCCATGCTGTTGCAGAACATCCACCTACTACAGATTCCCCTTCAGTTTCTCCATGTTGATCAATAAAGAACAGATCACTAAGCAGAAAAGGTAATTTATGTCAACGTTAGCACACAATGCAGGATTTAAGAGTCAGTTCATCTCCTCCTTCAAAGCTCTGACTGACATCCTGATGTAAGTTAAACTGTATTCCCTTTGGACCTTTATAGCTGTGTGTGTGAGGTCAGTATGCAGTGTCGTAGAGGTGTGCAAAGTGGGTGCGTGGTTTTTTTTTTGTTTTTTTTTAATCAAACAGATGAGATGCTCTGTGCACAAGATGTTGACTGTTGCTGGAGAACAACACAGAGAGAACCCAGAGGGACCAGACCGGAGAGTTGTAAACACTTCTGTCACTTCACTCTGAATAAGCACCAGTCAACATAATCAGTCACTTGCACAGAACAGAACATTTATGATTGATAGTGCAACACTGCCACAGGAAAAATGCAGGTTTTATGAAGGAAATATTTGCATAAATAATATTACACTACATACAAGTAAAACAAAAATGACTTCACTAAAGACAAGACAAGACAGATTATATATAATGATATTTTTTCTGAGGAATGAATGAATGAATACTGATTTCTGAGTAGATGTTCCCAATTTGATTCTAAAAAGTGATGAGAAGTTTAAAACAAACAGTAGTGGGAGAGAAAATCTTGTGGAGTGTCACTCATGGAAACTGCATTACACACACAAAACAATCACTACTCAGCGGCACACAGATTCTCAAGAGATGAGTGACAATAGTATTAGGGTTGTCGTCGGATCTTAGTCCTCAAACCGTCCATCCAGGATGCTTTCGAAGGTGAAGGGGAGAAACTTGAAGCCCTGGCCTGTGTAAAACTTGTTTTGGAACTCCACCCTGTAAAGAAAATAACGAGCCATTCAAAACAAATACAAAAAACGAGAATTACCGTCTCGCAGCTGTATGTTTCCTTGAACCAGTCAAGCTGCAATTACAGTTTACATCAATGTTTGTGAAAACATGGATGCTTCACACACATCTTGCCCCCAGCAGCACAGAAGATCCATAAAATAAGCACAGTTTCTAGGTGGACACCCAAAATTAGAGTCACCAATTTGTTATCTGACCAAATGTCTCAAACTCTAATCAGGTCATTAGTGAGTCCAAGTGGATGTTTGTGCCAAAATTTGAAGAATTTCCCTCAAGAGAATGGGATGGACGGCTATCGCCAGCCTGAAGGCATAAAAACCAATAACCAGAAAGGCTCGCACACAATAACACAGGCACACAGTGGTGATGGCTGTCCACGTTGGGTAATGCTGAGCAGAGCAGTTGTGGCTGACGACCCTTGCTCTTCATTCCACAGCCTGCACCCACCTGAACCCACTCCTGTCTACATCCCTGCTCCTGGACTGGGGCCCAGGGTCAGACACATAAGCCTCTTCCCCCCTGGAAAATGATCAGGCTCTATTTTTAAAAAGCAAATACTGAGCGACGGCTGGATGACCTTTAAACTGAGAAGCCACGAATACCTGTCATTCCATAGTCTGTCTGGTGTAGGAAAGTAGACGAAGGGGGGATAGACATTTTAAAAATATTACTGTACATAACTTCCTGAAATCTTTCTTGCAAAAATGCTCCAGGAAAATCCAAATCACAGGGCACATTTGTTTTTAATTCAACACAGTAGGTGTACTTGTATTCTTTAGAAATCATAAACACTATGTTACTACTTTTCCTAGTTTACTGGTGCTGTCATCTCTCTGTTTATACTGTAAATTATCAGAGGCATGGATTCGAGTCGGAGAACTTGGACTAATGTAAGTCACAGTCGGTCGCAAAATTAAAAAGCAAACTGCAACTCCACTTGGACTTTATCACAAATGACACATGACTTAATTTGGACTTGAACCTTTTGACATGAAAATACCTGACATCTTTCCCCAAGCAGAAAGATTACAAAGTTATATAAAAGTGAGCCACAAATCAATTCTTCTCCCTTTATTTTCTGCATCAACTAACATTAACGTTATTCATTCCCAGCAAGTCGACTCTTTGAACCAATCCAACAGCATCCAATTAAGTCGCAGGACAGATCCATGAAGAACTAACTTAACATCATTGAACGCCACTTAGAAAAACGATGCAGAGGATCATTTTGTCCATGTAAAAGAATGACACGGTGGTCAGCAAAAAAACTAATTGCAAAATGCAGATCTTCCAAGTTGATAATTACAGACGGAGACGCAACAATTTCCTACAAACATGTTTTAACAATTCAGTAAAAAGAAATTTTGAAGCACTCAAGATTTTTGTAAATATAACATAGATTATCACTCTGGCATCACATTTGGGGTAGAGCACATATGGCTTGTTGAGGACCCCAAGTTTAGGACTTGGTACATGTCTCGAGACTTGTCTGTCTTGACTTAGGACTTGAGTGCGAAGACTTTAGACTTACTTCTGACTTTAAAACTAATGACTTGGTCCTACCTCTCTAAAATAAAAAATACTGTTTGTCTCAAGGATCTCCTCAACTACAAGAACATCTCTAGACAGATGAGCACCTAAAGGTAGAGAGCCCGACAACATTTTTCTCTATCTTTAATTTGACCTTACACATGACATTACGTTATCACGTGATGTCCTGATGCAATAATTGGAAATTAACTACTATGACTGGTGTTTTCATATTGTATTCACGACTGCACCTCATTGTCTCTGAAGACGCTTCAGTGAGAGCTGAGTCACCCAGTATTCCTGTGTAAAGGATAATTATAGAGAGGAGTCGCTGCAACGCAGGCATGCTCTGTAAACGTGCCAGCGGATTATAAAAACCAGGATGACATTCAGCAAAGCCTGACTAAGACATTAATGAGGAGATAACAAAGGCTCGTCGGTGCCATAGCAAGGAGTCACGGACACAGACTGTTCTGTACACGACACATGCAGAAAAAATGAAAAGCATAACACTGACTGGAGCCAGACATGTTCCAGGCCGCAGGCCAGGAAAGAGAGAAGGCGATGTGAAACTGAAATTTGTTAACTTCTGATTGGGACACACCCCTCTCGACTGGTGCTGAGGCACTGATGGGTACTGATGGTGCAGCAGCCTCCAGCTTAAAACACCAATATTCTGGTTACTTTTCTATAAATTTTTGTAAATGTTTTGTTTTATAATTTGTTGTTAATTCTCAACCGTATAACCATCTAAGGAAACAGGGTAACCTGTTGTATGGACTGAAATTTATATTTTCAGCGTAGTAGGCTTAAGCAGTCACCTTCTCATTTGTTACTGTTCACCTGCAGATGGCGTTACAGGTCTGTGGTTTACGGTACTTACAGCCATTTTGCATAAGTGAAGGCCTCCTCTTTGAAAATAGCAAATCCAGTGTACAGTAACTGAGTTTTGGATTCATACTCATTGTGTATAATACACTGAATGCGATGCTCAAAAGTTGTTTACTAGATTATTAGAACAGCAGTGGAGTGTTTTTCTGTCAAAAATATGAAAACTTGAGGGCTGCAGCCAGCAGCTGCAAACCAGGCTGCAATGTAACCACTTGGGGTGTTTGTGCACTGTCAATTTACGTCCACTAAAAGTGCTTCTTTTTGCCACTGACAGGCTCGGATTGTTGTTACAAGTGTCTGACAACACCATGAAATGGATCTCTACAGAGACAGAACTTTTTGTTGAAGATTAAGATCCTTTGTTTCACCAGAAACAGCCCGAAATTGCCATCACCAAACCCATCAGACTCCATTTAAATAGACCGTAATTGTAGCCTGTATAGAGCCAGCATATTTTCACATCTAACTGGGTAAATTAAGGGTTTATTTCAATCAAGAGTTGCTGTTTGTTGGAACAGTGGAAAGACAAACCATAATGGTTTTTTGCGAGTTCTATTTTGTTCCTGTTGACTTTGAATAAAGTATGTTTTATGCTGATAAAATTGCTGTTTATTTAAATTGAGTCTTGTGGGTTTGATGAAAGTGACTGTGCTGTTTCTGGTTTAACCTGAAGCTCTTAACAGAGGGGTTTATCTCTGTAAGCATCCTTTCTACAATGTTGTCAGACACTTTGGATAGTAAACTGAACCTGTCAGTGGTGAAAACAAGCACTTTTAGTAAACATGCATTCACAAAGTGCAATTAACCATTTACGTTATTGTTACATTGCGTACATTACGTTCCCATTGGTCACTTAGACACAAAAACATGAAAAGACCAAAAAGAGAAAGCAGATGAAAAGCATACAAAAAAGAAATACCACAAACACAATAGTCAACTTACCAGTGCAGTCGCAGTGCATGCAAGAAGGCTGACAAGCCCTCCATAATGAGAAGAATGGCAACTGTGAGAATAGCAAAGAAGAAAAAGACTATGGACACAAGTAAGAAACCCGCGAGGCTTCTGGTAGAAAGGCCAATGTGCATCACCATGGACCACAGCACCTCTGACAACTCTGCGCATGGGACAAAAAGAGGACACGGGTTTCAGTGCTGTGATAAGTGTATGGGTTATATTTCCACTTCTCTACTAAATGTATGCATATTGTTGTGTTAATCTTTAGTCAAAACCTTGATATTAAAAAGGGAGGAAAAGTGTAACTTACGTGCATGAGCCAGACTGAGGGCCCAAAGCCTCAGATAAGAGGCGGTGTTGGAGATACAGCCCAGGCAGTACTCTATGGTGTGGATCGCTTGATGCACTGCCACATCACCAAAGTTAAACTGTGAGACAAAGAAATAACATCAAAACGTGACCACATGTCAGCATGAATCTCTAGAAAATAACATCTTTATGGCAGGTCCTGGCGTCCACATAGGAGGAGACTGGTTCAATGTATGTGCATGATCATTCAGGTAATTGATAGGAAACCCATTTGCCACCACAGATCACCAAAGCCCCTTAAATTAAATGGAGACACCGTCATCTGAGGACCCTGTGAACCCAAAGTATCAGCTGCCCTGCTCATCACGCACATCACCAGGACTGCAAGAACACAATGGCCTATTGGCACCCACTGCTTAAGGAATCTCTGCAACCTATGTTTCAACAAGTGACTCCTGGAAGACACCAGCCACACGCCGACTAACACTTACACGCACACCGACACAGCTAAGACCAGCAAGCAACGGTTGACAGCATACGTAGACGACAAAATGAGGGGCAGAAAGAAAGAAATACTAGACATGCACTTTGACAGGAGGGGGATAGGTTGCAGGGTGGGTGGAGGTGCAGCGTGAGCTCCTGTCCTACCTCTTCATCCTCGTGGGCCTTGACAGCAGGTGACAAAAGGCAACGCTTGGTTATAGACAGCACACACACAGATCGACAGACATCAGTAAACAGAAAAGTTACGAGAGAAATCGGTTACTCGCTTAAAAAGGAAAGAGGGTGAATATTACAGGATGACAACACTCTGCTCACATGTGCTGTCAGTGCATTTTAGAATTAAATTAGGGGGAATATATATAAAGAGGTTCACAATAAAATACTTCAGCACAACTGATTCCAGGTGGTGTTAAAGCTCTTTGAGATGAACAACAAACAACCAGAATGGTCGGATTCTTAATCAACCTGGATATTTTTTATATTTACAAGCAACTGCACACAAAACAGACCAGATAAAAAAACAAAAAACAACAAAACAAACAACATTTCTGAATTTAATCTCTCAACAGCATTCTCAATAGCCATCTATAATCTAAGGGTGGCAGTGTGGAGCTTGTTAAATCTTTTTGCTAAAGTGGACCTTCATCCATAATTAATGTTTTTCATTGCCACAGTGGAAGTGGAAACATGAGGTATCGATTTTTGTTTCCAACTGTGGCTGAGTAACTGAATTATTAAAAGAAGTGAGTAGATCCAATAACGTGGGCCCCACTCCCATCCTCCCTCACCAGACTGCTGGCCTGCCGTTTCTCCAGCTTTGAGAGCAACAGGGAAAAAATGCATTCAGGTGGGAGACATTGTTACTGATGAGAATATGTCTCTTTTACCTCAGGCTCCTCCTCAGAGTGCTGTGAGAGCTGGTCATGCTGGATGATTTCAGCCTCGTCCTCAGTGGGTCCGTTGCCCACCCTGATCCCTCCAAAGTTCTGTGTACCCTGAAACAGAAAATGGGAAAAATAGAAAAGTTTAAAAAGGGTTACAATTGAGATACAATGTATTAACTTCAAGTGATACCATTTGCTTCTTACCAGGTGTTTCCGCCACAAATACTGTCTCCGCAGAATTAGAGTTTTCACTATTAACATACAGGGAACACAAGCCAAGGCGATAACCACCAACAGTGATTGTACGACCATCTACATATTCAGGGGAGAAAAGAGAATAAGAAAAACAGGACAATGAGGTTGTGGTTGTTCATTTCAGGACAAAACAACAGATGTATGTATCTAACAAGTATCTCACCTGTCCTCTGTAGAGAGGTTTGGTACTGGGGTCGCTGTAGTTGAAGAGGAACATGTTGATAAAGGCGATGAGGATACTGGGAGCATCCTTGGATATGTGTGCATCATATGCGACCCATTTGTAGAAGATCAGAATGGCCAGGTAGCCAAAGAGACTGGACATGAAGACAATCTCTGGGATGAATCCCAAGTAGATATTCAGCGGCTTCTTGAAATACCTGCAGAGGACCACAAACGTTCACTCTGAATCTGTGCGTAATTGCCACGGGAACAAAGACAAAGAAATAATCAATTTAAGTGTAAATGTTGGATGAAAATCTCACAGGTGGTTGAAGAGACTCAGTGTGACTCCAAACAGCATGTGGATTACTCCCAGGATTACAGACATCTTCATCTTGAATGAGTTCAGGAACGTCAGCTTGTTGATGGCAATGTTCCAAATCTGAGAAACAAAGTGGTCAAACATGAGTGCTCAATAATGCTCAACATATTTTCATTCTGGGGCAGCTTTCTCCTTTAACCATATTCAGTTACAATAAACCTAATTTATAGAAGCAAGTTTATGTTATAACACAATAACATAATAATATAAACATATCACGGATCGTAATAACACTCATTGGGATAATAGTTAATATCGCACCCAAAGAGACTCCTTGTCAACCAACAGTATAAGAGACTCTGCAAAGACCGACTGCATATACAATGTCAAAAAATGTAAAGGTATTAATCAAGCAATTTTCATACTGTCCCATGCCTGCTTGAAAGCATGTAAAGAGCATCAACTAAGCTAGTTTGATTTTTGCAGAATAAAGAGCATGCAAATTGCAAAGGAAAATGTTTACCGGATCGATGCCAATGGGATACGGCCCTTTGAACACCCCATCTATTGCTGGATCCAACTGCCAAACTTTATTGGTTTCCAGTGTTTCAATCCTGAATGGAATGAGAACACCAATTAGTTTTGTGACTTCTATTACATCACATCTACAGCAGTCAGAAGGGTTAAAACTCAGGTTGGTGACTTACGTCCAGTTGCCTCCTACCCGACGGTCGAACATTGGCCTGACGCTCCAGCCAGAGCCAAAAGCGTTGAGGGACTTGGAGAAGCAGTCATTGTAAATGATCCCAGTGTAGACTGAGAAGATTCCCATCAGCAGGATGATGTAGCGCCCTGCGAACACCATGCTGAACATCTGCCATAGAACAATCAATGAGTAACTAGGTTATAAAACAAGAAAAGCTGCATTTCTGCAATTATGAACATAACCCACAGAAGCACAAAGCTCTGTACAGCTGTGGGGCTGGTGCACCACCAGTGAGGATGCTGTGGGGCTGATGAGATGGCCATGATGGAAGTCATACCTCATTATCGTTCTTCTGGGCCATCAGTCTGCTCTCTCTCAACACCAGGTATAGGGCAGCACAGGTCATGAGCACCCCGTGGCCCAGGTCACCAAACATAACAGCAAATAGGAAGGGGAAGGTGATGATGGTGTATGGCGCTGGAGACGAGGAGGTGGTGACGCAGGCATCATGTGAGGGGAGGGCGGTGTGGCAGGTGAAACAACATATGAGTGTCACAATACAGAGCATGTCCAAACAAACTGATAATGGGTGATGAGGCCGAGTACGTAGCACGCCTTTCAGTGACTGTAGTTCAATACTACAGGCAGCCAGGTAAACAGAATAAAAAACAACAACAAAATGTTCAGCTGTCTTGAAAGACAAATTATAACACTGATGGTCTCATGACAAACAGAGGTTCAAAGTTTAGGACTGTACACATAAAGGTGTGACACATGCTTACCTGGGTTAATCTCACGGTAGCTGCCAATTCCATAAGCATCCACAATGTTTTGGAAGCCTGAGGTGAATTTATTTGTCTTGTTATAGGTGGGTGGGGTCTGCTTGGTCTGCATCCTATTGAGGATGGAAGGCACAGTGGAGCCACTCTTCTCCTAAAGCGCACAACACATACAAGAAGTATTTAACAATCTTATCTATCTTTTTAAAAATGGGATCACGTGCAGAGAATGCCGAGAGCCAAGTGTACACAAGTGGTATCATGCTGCTTTATCAATTTTCATCTTGGTAAGAAAAAAAGGGACCCCTGGGTAAAGCCAGTTGAATACCCCTGCAGTACACTATGGCCTGGTGTTTCAAGACAAGCAAAATAAAGACAGTTGAGAGATGACGTGAGCATAGAGACAGTGCAAAGCCTAACAGAGCCAAGTCTCTGTCGCTACACCAAGTGTACAACTAAAACAAATGTCTTTTTTATTCCACACATTTTTCCCTTCTCTACATCTAGCATCTACTCTACCCACAATACAAATCAACTGCAAACAGTTCAGTCGAAGACTTGTGTTTTATCCCAGTGCTGTCCAATGTACTGTAGCCTCCAGTCACTAGCTTCAAGCAGAGATGAGGAGGGGGCTACACAGGTCTGGTGAGCTCACCTCTCTCCAAAACCACAGCCCCAGATTCTTTTAGTTTTTAGCACAATGTGTCACTACCAAAAATGTAACTGCCTGGCAGAGGAAATAACAAGTTAGCACCCAAAACAAATGCAGCATTTGCTTGTGATCACTGCAGTGTAAGAAGCTGCCTGTCTCAACTTGTCAACTGTTTTGCGTAGCCCCATTCACCACCTCCTTTTCGACGACCTACAACTGTCTGCAACTGGTCACCAGAATGAGAATTTGTTGCAGTCAGCATAACTTTCGGTTTATTTAAAAACACTGAAACTATTTTTTGGACTCTGTTTACTTCTTGTTTTGAGGAACTTGCATGTCTGCTGCCATAAGTTGTAAGCTCCTCTAATTGGAATTAAACAACTAGGTAAATAACTGTCAAAGTAAATGTACGAATATGTTAGTACACACAAAAGCTTGGGTATACTGCAAACATCCTGTTTGCACTGACATGGTTTAGATCTGTTTGTTTTAAACTGGTTCTGCTATGTTCAGTACATCACCAGGTAAATTTGACCCTGTGTCTCTTTTCTAAGAACAAAACAGAGGCTGGTGACTGTGTCTTTACAAAATAGAGTTAACCTACGAAATGGAGGATATTTTCCTTAAACATAAACTGCCTGGTGCTCAGTTACTCACCGTTCCCCTGCGCAGGGCAAACTGGATAGAGTCCATGTCCGAGACAGGACACCAGACCTCGGCGATCAGACACTTCTGAGTGACGTCGATGTTGCAGAGGTTGAGGGTGTGGTAGATGGCCTTCATCTTCCTCACCTTGATGAACCACACTCTGATGGTCTTGGCTGCAGCCTGCAGGACCCTCTGCCTGTGATCCTCGGTCTGGTTCAGCACCTTTAGAGGGAGACAAGAGTAAAATTGTTTAGGACTGGAATGAAATCTTTTGTACTTTTACTTTCTACCTTGGCTCTTTAAAGAGAGATTGCAATGCTTTTCTGGTAAAAACAAAATGTCTGCTACATTAGATATTGGCAACTGTGGGACTATAAATCCACTCTTTACAATCCTTGAGCCAAAAAGTGACAAGACAAATGTCCACTGTGGGAGCCAGAAACACCTATAACTGCCATTTTGGTTCACCTTGTGCTTTTCTATGGCCTGCAAGCAGATATGAGGGAGGGTAGGTCATTTTTCTCATAATAATAAATGACAAACTCCTTGTTTTAACACCCAATTGCAATTATTAATTAAAGTGCTATCAAAGACATTTATGCACTATAAATCTATGTCCCCTACAATCGGAAAATGCTGCTAAAAATAGAGTAGCACTGAATGATTCGTTCCATGATATTCATAGAAAGGGTTTAGATTTACCAGTGTGATTAGTGAGCAGTTAGTCATAAGATGAAGAGCAACAGGCTGTCTAATCCATTAGGTTTTCCCGAAAGAGATATAGGATATTCCCAGATATGCTGCTGCATGACTCACATTTAAAGCAGAGACCCATGATCAGCAAATAGCAGGATATCTAAGCTCTGTGCTGTCTGCCTACAGACACAATCTCGCCTGCTGTCGAGAGGCTTAATAGCCCACACATAGCAGATCGCTGTCCAAACAGCTTGACATTCTTCATCAACCATGTCATTCAGCTCTCATGCACACGTAGTGACAAGTATAACGCTGCATCCGCAAACGCCAAGATCCACATTCCCCGGGATGCAAAACCGTGAGAGGATATCAATCCATTTGTCAAATGGGATGTGTATCAAGTATCAGTCTTGAGCAACCCATTTCTGTGGCAAATGTCAATGATGCTATAATATCTGAGTACATGACACGTGAACACAATTGACACAACTTGCTGACAGAAGTGAATATCTCATGTTACTTCACTTCTAACAGCCTGCAGACCAGGATGCAGTCAGTACAACATATGTAATCTCTCTGTGATATGTGAGTCTGTGTGACATGATGTAAAACACACATATGAGCGGATGTATCCTCACAACCATACAAGACAGTTCTTATTTGCAAAGCTCAAGGAAAGAGGGATTCCCTGGGGCTCTACCTTGTGCTAGATAACGAGTCACTGAGGAGTAATTCAACACTGCGCACACAATAACAACATTGTAATGGAAAGACTCTGCCTGCTGGAGGACAATTCTCTGGGCTGAAGCTAGACAGCTGAGGTGTTGATCAGCAGTTGCGAAAGTTTATTGAAACAAACCAATAACTATGTTTCCGCAAATGAACAGGGCAGTGTGGCACAAATAAAAGTTTTAACAGGAGAGGATTGCAAGTAAAATGAAATGAGCAGATGTATCACCTCATTATTAGAAAATGTATAGTACATTTTGTCTGTTAAACAGTGATTGAGAAGGGTCTACTTAGTGTTTTAGTTACCTACAGAGAAGTTATGAGTCCACCTTCTCTAGCATCCCTAAAGTATTTATCCCTCACTCACTATCTATAAATTTATATCAGTAGCTAGTGAAAAAAAACGTAAGTGATATATAGTAGTAGTATAACATAGCTACGTTATAGGCCAACAGATCTTATGGAAATGTTTTCTATGAGCTGACATTCATGCAACTTAAATCAAATTAATTTATTGCTTATATAATATATGGCTGAGCGCCAAGACAGGAAGCTGAGAATAAACTGTGAGGAGCAGAAGTATTACACGCCTTGTGAAATTTCCTCTAATGACACTTTCCAGTGGATTTCTACAAAAATGTGCTGCTGACAAGGCAGAAACAAACAAAAAAGAGAGAACTTATCAGTTCAAGTGTGTTTCTGTGGAGGTCAGTGCTAATGAGTCAACATTGTGTAGCTGTATTCCCTGCCAGTATATTTACCATTTGTAGGTCATCAATGCGTGCATTCACCCCTGCCAACATCTCTTTCCTCTCCTGGGGTGTTTCTGGACATGGGTACAAGGTTGCTCTGAACCTAAAGACAGATAAAGAAGAAGCATAGTTAGATCTTAAGACTCTTTTGGCAGAGAACACTTTATAAAAATGTACAAATGTTGGCCAGCCACTCACCCCTCACAGATCTTCTTGACTCTATTCTTCAGTTGGTCTCCCTGGAAGAAGATGATGAAGACAGACTTGTGGACGTGGTCACCCTGTAGAAATATTACACAGTTAGTCTGTCTTTAGTAGGAGAACATCGAAACAGGTACTATCAGCTTCACAAGACATCAGTGCTTAAACATTTCTGACCGTAGTCGGGTCCTCCAGAGGATCTTCAATGTCTGCCTGCCTCAGGAACACATTTCCTCTGCAAACTCTCCACAGCATCCTCTCGAAAGTGGGAATACGTTCCCTGCCAATGACTCCAGCCACAAATCTGTAACAAATGGAAAAATGCTGTCACCATTCTTGTTTGTTATCTAGGCTGGGATATATAAATCTTCTAAAAAAAATACCCCTAAAAACTTTGACAAACAAGTCAAAAAAAAAGAAAGAAGAAATTTATGTTTCTTAAATGCAAACTGCATTTACTCCAATGCCATAGTCTCAACAACATAATTATATGGACTTCCTTACAGTGACAGAAGACAGTTGGGAAAATCTTCATGCAGTCAGTTAGATTTCCCAACAATACAATATTTAGGCTGGGCATTGTCTGCCTATTCTCTTCTAAATAAAGAGCTGACATTGACAGAAATATCTCCACTAATGGGAATTACATTTATGAATGCGGATTGTGAGTAGATTTCCGCTTTAAGTGACCTTTGTTGCCTGACTAAGCCGGACAGCCTGAGCTGGTGTGTGGGAGGTGATTGGCTAGTTGTAACACTCAGGTCTGGTTTTGGCCACAGATGGCTGAAGTGCACAGAATGGAAATCTTCTAGAGAATCCTAATCCTTTTGAAGACCGCAAAAAGAGACTCACCCCAGTCTGAGAGGAGCCACTCGCACAGGCTCATTGGGGTCGAGAAGGGTGGATGACTCCTCCAGTAAGCTGGGATCCTCCATCTGCAGGAGTCAGTTAATTATTAATTAACATCATTCCCTGTTCTGCATCACCATATATACATACTTGTAAACACAGAAAACTCCATAGTATTGACATACATGTTGAGATTGGACAGAATAAAGATAAAGAGCCAGGGTCAGTGTTTATGTTTGTTTCCAGCAAAGACAGTGACTTTCTCCAGTTAATGGTTGACGGCTACGTGTTCAGTTCAATGATTTACCTCAATCAAAGCTCATAACAACTCGTACAAGATGACTTAACATTGTAAGTCGATACAGTTTTGTTTGTGAAGGCAGTGAAGTGAGACTGATGTTGGGCAATGGTGGGCTGGCGAGGCTTTGCTCCAGCAAATGATCAATAAACACAAAATCAAATCTGTGCAAAGGATTGTACAGCAGTGGAATTACAGCGTATTCACTAATGTGACTGGTTGGTGTAAATGTGCCAAGACCATGTGAGCAACTGTAAACGATCACGAGTGAAACACCTTCTGCCAGATCAAGCAGAAAAAAATGCTCCACTGTGTGTCAGTGTGTGTGTGTGTGGGTTTGGGTGTGCCTGATATCAGTGCTGACAGCTTATCAGCGGAAACTGTATTTCACCAATGCAAACCAGAAACGGCCGCCTTTAGACTAACACATTGTTTTTCTTGCTCATTGCCACAGTGAATATATTAAAAAAAATAAATAAATAAAGTTCTGGATTAACAATCACCTATCAGTACAAAATAGTTCGTTTGTTTCTAAGGCTGTATTTATTTTTTACAACCATGGCGATAAACAACGATAAAAGTAAAAGTGCAACTTCTCTTTCAGGCCACAACAATGTTAGTAAAATAAAAAAAAGCTGAGTACATCATTTTGCAGGGGCCTGCATGCAGAAGTTAAGCTGACCTCGTCAAAAAACTGTTGCGTGCGACGCAGGATGTGCTTGAGCTCAGTCAGTTCCAGGAAGTTCTTCTTAAGGGCTTCTTGGTTGGTGTTTATTTCCTTCAGCTCATTCTCAAGCTTCTCAAATGTGGCCTGTGGTGAGACACACAGAGGGGTCAGCAGAGGGACGCAGTAGATGACAGAGCTAGGTGTTAATCTTTGAGAGAGAGAGCAGTCACCTCCAGGTCGATCATGTCCCTTGGGAAGGGGACTTCAGGGTTTTCTCCTGTGTCAACTATTGGGATGTTGGCCTTCTTTATTTCCTTCTCCACAAATCCTGCGAGAGAGGAGTAACAAGGTAAAAAAAGGGGGCACAGGTGTACATGTAGTTGTTTACACTGGAAAAAGCACCATCCCATTTTTATTTGTACAGCTCTGTTATGGGTCTTGCCAGAAGCACCTCTGACAAGATATATATCACTTACTCAGTTTGCGATCCATTTCCTCACATCGTCGTACTTCATTGACAAACTTTCGTTGGAACACATTCACATCAGGATTTAGCTGTGAGAAAAGACCAAAAAAAAGAACAGAAGTGAGGGTCAACACAGACTATGCAGACCATGTAGTCATGTTCACAAAGACATGATGATTGAATAAAATCTGTAAAATCAGAAGGGGTGCAAAACAAAAAAAAACACACATACATCAGAAACCTAAGCTGTATCAATGTCAATAACTTAAATGATGATTCAGCAGAGCTATCCACTGACTCCCCTATCAATAGGTTTTTAAGTCTGTCAATATCCTCTTAAGAAAATAAAGCTCATTTTCTATATTGTCATTTTATATGGTGAAGGATGTACAATTTAATGAAATGATTAAGACACCACTGTCGATGCACAGACCTACTCTGTTACAGCCCATCCTGTATTCTAGCACAAAGCTTCCCTCAGGGCTCACTAGGAATGGGCTTTCTCATGTGTGGAATGAGGGGTCAGCTGTGAGCACATGATGAACATGATGCCGAAGGCATGCACTTTCTCTGCAACGTCAATGATTTGGTCATTTTCATTTCCATGACAGATGACACAGATGACTCAAGTGTCCCCCCCCACCCCAGACCCTTTACACAACACGTACCAGCTTTAAAAAGCAGGTTTCAGTAGCTAGAAAATGTCAACCTGTAGAAAATAAAGTAGTCATGATTCAGAGGACAACATAACAGTGGACTTACATCCCGAAACTGCACCATCCCGATCTCTCCCAGTTCACTGACACAACAGTAGGCGGCTTCTGACTGGAGGAAGAGCTGAGCCAGCGTCATCTCTTCACTTCTGAAGAGTTCTCCCATGTTGCTGAAGGATGGGAGTGCTCAGCACCCTTAAAATCAACCAGAACCTCTAGAAAGTGAACAGATATTATCCGTTAGTCACCCTCACAGACAGAAAAACTCTGGTAAAACATGAAGGATCTGAGCTCTACACTCAGCACTTTTCTCTGCATGGCACCTTAGTGTCAGGATCACTAATGAGAGAGGCCCATATCAGTTATGTGTTAGTCTAGCATAAGTGTGACAAAAAGAGAAAAGAAAAAAAATGATCAGCTTGCCCCTCATGCTGGTCTCATGATCACTACAGGAATGTGGTTACGCTCCAAATGAGTTTTATCTGCACCACTACACCATAGGGGACTTTGAAGTGGATATAATTTTACAGTAGATGCACAGCACAGGTTATTGTAAGCAGAATGCAGTTTCTGTATTATCTGTCATTTAACACAAATAATTAAGAATGTTTCAGAGTATGTTTCAGCTAAACAGCACAGCCTCATGCTGTAAAACGACCACACAGGGCTTATCTGTGGATTACAAGGTAGCATGTGACCAGTAGGTCCAGTAAGCCGCAACACTCCCACTGCAGCAACGCAAAGAGCACACCAACTGATTCAACACAGCAAAACAGGTTTGCTTAACACCGTGAAACATGACAAAACACCACCATTAACGTTATTTCAACGAGCCGCATTTAGCTCAGCGATTAACAAGTCAATTAGTCACCGTTACTACAGCTCCACCTGTCAGAGCTGATGCCAAACGGTTAATGGCTGACCAAATGAACATGTCACTGTCACAGCTACCTGGCCGGCTATCCGCTGAAACTATTAACACCGCAGACGTTAGCTAATTAGCTTACATTGACGTTATTTAACGTTAGCTAACAAAACAATATCAGTTGACGGGTGCTAGTCAGATTAGCATTCGTTAGCTAAACTTTAATGCTAATAACATGATAACGCTATACAACAGAATATTAGTGGGGTTAATATTTACTTTTTCTGACATATGTTTGCTAGATAGCTAACTTAGATGACAATTAATATAGCTCAGTTTGGAATTTAAAGGGTCTGTGCGGCTAACAGAGAGCTAACGCTAACTTAGCGCACCTGTTGCTCAATATTTGACTTAGCCCACAATATTAACATCAACGCTGGGGTAACGTTAGTCTAAATCGCGAATAGTGTCAATTTCCGTATAATTAAGCAACAGTTCCCTTACTGTTTTACGTGGAGATGTCGCTCTCCTCCTTGGTTTCCTTCCTGGTTTCCTCTGTGCTGTTTAGGATGGACTGCTCGGTGGTTGCGGCTGACAGCTCGTCTTCTTCTTCTTCTTCTACTCCTTCTTTGAGGTTTAACGGCAGGTGGCATACTGCACGCTGCATTACTGCCCCCCTCTGGATATACTCATTATACTCACTATATTTTAGTCGTGAAATTTATTAATCAAATACTTCTAATAAAACAAATGTTTTCCATCACTTGTCTATCTGCTCATACTTTCTGCATGTTACAAAAATATGCTGTCTCTGTTTCCCCCATAATGACAAGAGTCAGTGTGCTTCTTGTTACTTGTTCATTCCTGCCAGTTTCCCTACCTCATACCATACCCATGGATGAATTGAGCAACTTCAAAGAGATGCCAAACCATTACAAAGAACAAAAAAAAAAAAAAAGAAATCGAGATCTGGGGACATGCCGTGACAGACGGCCGATGAGAACATTGTTGTAGCCTGTCCTCCTGTGTAGGAGAGGTATCAGGGCCCTTTGCACATCTGTGAACAAGGGACCATTGTCTCATAATCAGTTCCTAACCATACCTACTTTGTTTTAGATCTCCCTGGTGCAGGCTTCCCAGTTATAGCCAGTGGCTTTTTAGTCTCCCACAGGACATTTTGTTCATCTTTAATGCTGCCCTTTCTCCTTTGTGCATCTGTGCGCTCAAATTTAGTTTTCTTTCTGCTTTCTCGGGCAAATTTGTTGGAACTGTACTGTAACACAAGTATTCACCATTGTGTATTTTCCTTATTAATTACTGCAACTTCATTTTGGTCACTCATAACAGAGTAACTCCTGCCTCCCTGTCCCTGCTCAGCACTTACTCCACTTGCATGTCTTACTGTCCTCCTGACCTTGTTTGTACTGAATCATATGCTGGAAAATATGTGTTCTTTGCACTACTGTAAATGCAGTATTTCTATTTCTCACTGCCACAATACATTTGTCATCCCAACATGGTGCTGACTTACTCTTTATTTTGCCCTGACTTGTAAGAAATTGATTCTAATGCATCTGAAAATATACCTTGTCTCATTTTATTATCAAATGTTTCTATGTTCATATTATAATCAATCTGATACCCATTTCCCACCACTGTTTTCTGTGATGTAGACATATTTACATTGCTCTAGACTTGTTAGGCCAAATTGTCACTCCCAATGGTTCAATCTTGGTACACCTTTTGAACAAAGCGTTGCATTTCGTATTTGTGACCACAAGAGGGCAGTAAACACTCGTGATTCTAAAGACACCTACCTGTCACCTCCACCCAGTGTCACACAGTGCTAATATCAGTAAAATCAGTGTTAATATCAACATGTGCAGCTCTTTATTAGTATGGTTATTACTAATAACAGTAGCAACATAAATACTGGTATCAATTGTATTCATAACGTGATGTTTTGATAACAGTTTTGTGGTGTAAAGACAGGCTGTCTGCTAAGGACATTAATTTA